TACAGTCCAGATATTCCCCATCTCAGATATTAGTGATGTTTTAGACCTGCACTAAGACTTTCCACCTTATGTACATTTATATTTCATTTTCCTCAAGCCAACATCCCAATGTATTGAGAAAACCTTAAATCGTCTTAAAATTGGGAATAAATGGGGTAGTGTTATATCCTAGTTTGTTTCTCCATTGCTGTGACAAAATACTCTGACCAATACCAAATTGGGGAGGAAAGGGTTTATTTTAGCTTACATCTCCTGGGTCACAGTTCATCAGGGAGCCCAAGGTAGGAACCTGGAAGCAGGAACCTGGAGGCAGGAACCTGGAGGCAGGAGCTGGAGCACAGGCCATGGAGAAACGCTGCTTACTGGCTTGCTCCCTGGCCCCTGCTCAGCCTGCTTTCTTTTGCAACACAGGCCCACCTGCCCAGGGGTGGCACCACCCACTGTGGGTTGGGCCCTCCCACATCACTCAATAGTCAAGAAGATGCCCCACAGACATGGCCACAGGCCAGTCCAATGGAGGCAATTCCCCAATTGAGGCTCCCTCAACCCACATGTGTCAAGTTGACACTAAAGCTATCCAGCACACGTTAGCATTAAGATCTGTCTCTCTGTTCGTCTACCTACATACCTACCTGTCTATCCTGTGTGTGCATGTGTGTACGCAGGTGTACTTGCCTGCATGTGCACATGTGGAGGACAGAGTGAGGCTTTGGACATTTTCCTCTATCACTTTACACTATTGATTGATTGGTTAGTTGGTTGGTTGGATGGTTGAGACAGGGTCTAATAACGTAACCCAGGCTTGCCTCACACTCACAGTAATCTGCTTTGTCTCTGCCTCTCAAGTGCTGGGATTAAAAGGCACGTGCCACCACACCTGGATTCCACCTTTTTTTTTTTTTTAATATGTATGAGTGTTTTGCCTCATTGTATGTAAGTGTATCATGTGTATACAATGTCCACAGAGGCCAGAAGAGGGTGTCAGACCTCCTGGAACTGAGGTTACAGGTGGTTGTTAGCTTCTATGTGGGTGCTAAGAAACAAACACGGGTCTTCTGCAAGAGCAACCAGTGCTCTTAACTGCTGAGCCATCTCTCCAGCCCCTTCCATCTTATTTTTTGAGACAGAAATAGGTTCTTTCACTGACCTAGAGCTAGACATTTTAGATCTGGTCGGCAAGCTCCCAGGATCACTTGTCCCTGTAGCCCCTTCCTCCTGGCACTGAGATTACACATGCTGCTGTGCCTGCTGGTGCTGAGGATCTGAACTCAGGTTCTCCTGCTTGTGCAGTAACCACTTTACCCTGAGCCATCTCTCCATCTTAAATTCTGTCTGTTGTCAGTGTTCAGGCTCCTGGCCGCAGATGTGATAAGCATGCCTTTTCTTTTCCCTCTTAGGGCCCTGAGGTTGCTATTGAGGCCTTAATGACAATACTGCTTATCAGTCCTCCAGGGCTCTCCACCAGTGCTCTGGGCTTTTCTGAGAGAGCCTCCTGGTATTGCACTGCGCTGTGATAATTCATCTGTTTACCTCCCAGAAACCCTGAAAGAGGAAATTTGGCAAGTTCAGGGTGACTTGCTCAATGAACACTGGAGATTTTTTTTCTCTTTTTGAATTTTTTTGTTTTGCAGTGCTAGAGATCTAGCCCAGAGCCTAAAGCATGCTAGACAAGTGCTCTGCCTCTGAGTTATATCCCCAGCTCCGAGAGTATTCTGTTCTTGTTGTTACCATTGTCATTTTGATTTTTCTTCTTTTAAGATATGTTTGCTATAAAATATTCTGAGCACTGGAGGCGGGGGAATGTCCCTGAACCTTCACATTCAGAGAAAAACCTGCAGGATAATATGTTTGGACACTTTACATCATGTGCCCTTGGCCCAGAGATGTCAGTTGGGGTGGCTAGCTCCTTGCATAGCCAACGCCTCATCCCTCCTGCATCTCTCTGCTGTGCTTTTTGAAGTCACTGTAGGAACAAACCACAGCTCAGAACTTCAGGAGTGAAACAACCCTCAACCAGCTGAGAGGGGCAGCTAGAGCCCCCATCTCATGTAGCCCAAGGCTGACTTCAAACTTATTATGTAGCCTCCACCTTCTGAGTGCTGGGGCTGCAGGCAGGCACCATCACACCAGGTTTACATGGTGCTACAGATGGAACCAGTACTTCCTGCATGCCAGGCAAGCACTCTACCAACTGACCTCTACTCCAAACCCCTTTTTTCTTTTTGCTATCTTCCCATTGCCTCACCTCTCCCTTCCTGCACCAGCTCTCAAATGAAATCCCTGTTCCCAAGTCCCCATCTTAGAGCATGTTTCAGAAATCAGAGAGAGCATCCAAAGATGCGAGTAACTGTCATGGAACACATATTTCATAAACAGACAGATATCCAGTAATAACGCTATGTAACTTTACATAAACAGGTCATATTACATGTATTCTAAATCCTACTTCTTCAGTACTCATATATTCATAATACAAACTCACATAACAATCTATCCATAGTAGATAATGAACACATTTCCGTGTCAATAAATAAAATCCTAAGCATAGTCTCTATATGTCCTATCTATCTGTCTTTCTATATCTATTATCTATCTATCTATCTATCTATCTATCTATCTATCTATCATCTATCTATCATCTACCTAGTGTGTGTATCATACTAGGAAGTGAACCTAGGGCCTCTGGCACCACTTGGTGACATACAACACCTTGCACTCCTTTAATGTGCACCACTGCAGATGTGTCTCATCTTTTATTTATTTAATTTACAGGGTGTGGATGAGTACACTCAGACTCATTTTTGCAGATGTGCAGAACAGCTCCCTTGGCAAAACATCTAAGATATGTCCTTGCCTTCTTAGTTCCTGGGTGTTCACTATGCATTCAATAATTTCCTCTGGAATTCCAAGAGGTCAGTATTCATTTTAGTGGATTTAAAAAACTTTCCTTCCATCCTTTTTGAAAACCAAGACATTTGCCCATCGTTGGGTTTTGTTTTGTTTTTGTTTTTGTTTTTTCTTTTTGGATCTTCTTTCATTTACTGTAATTTCCTCTACAGCACTGATTACATCTGCAACTGCCTCTGGATCCCTGGACTGCCATGTGTCCGGGTTCTGAGGGGCAAGCTCACTGCAGGTGGCTCTGCATCTTCTTCCCATCACACCCCTCTGGGTTTGTAACCTTCTTCTGCTCAGTTCACAATTCAAAGCAGAATTGCCTGTACCTTCTCCAAAGCCCCAAACTCTCAGTAGACCCCTTCTTGTTACCATTATTTAGATTCACAAAGCTTTTTGCTGTGTCTCTGATTCTGTTCACTGAGGGTTCAGTGCCTTGCTAACCACCATTCTTACAGATGCTGCCAATTTTCCAGCTCCATCCTGCATCCGCATTCCTCGAATCTTTGCTGTATATGTGCTTTTCAAATCACAGCTCATTGGAAAGCTGTAAGTGCACTTTGAAAGGTTTTCTATAAAACCCCCCTTTTCATTCCTAATGGCTCCCTTTGCAATCACTTATTGGAATCCCAGGGTTTTGTTCCCTCTTGTGGCAGCCTTCACTTTCTGGTATGAATGTGTACAACACATCTTGTTTTATTTTATCCTCACAACCCCCCTTGTCAAGCCCCATTCCATGTAACTTCCTCCATTCACTAGCTGGGTAACCAGTAGCACTGGAAGGCTTAGGCACCATCTCAGAGACACCCAGCAAGCCAGTGGCCCAGCCCTTAGCCCTCCAGCCTCTTAGCCTTTGTCCACATGGCCCAAGGGAGGGTACAGCTGAGGCCAGTAGACTAAGTCCTGGGCCACTATTCTTCCCAGTCTGTGAGGCTGGGTCCTTTCCGCCTCTTCCTGGAAGCCACCTCCTCTGGGATTCTACCTCTGGCCCCCATCCCTGCATGCTGAGGGAAGTTGCTGACAGCTCCCTAAAGCTAGTAGCTACACTGTCTTCACCTGGTCTCAAATGAGCTTCTGCTCAGTCATGAGGCGGCATGCGGATGCACATGCACCATGGATGCAGAGCCTCCTTCACATATACCATGGACAGAGGCACTCCCACATCCCTCTATGTGTGTCCCTCTGTGTCTGTCTCTCTCACATACATATACACCATGGGCATAAAGACATTGGTTCTCTTTGTCTCTGTCTCTCTCACTGTAGACACAGAGGCACCCTCAGATCTCAGATCTGTCTCTCCCTCTTTCAATGTCTTTGCATCTCTGTCTGTTTCTTTCTTTCACATACACATATATCCAAGTCTCCTGCCTCTGTTTTGCCCCAGCCCCCTACACACTGTGGACACAGAAGCACCCTCAGATCTGTCTCTACCTCTCTCTCAGGGTCTGTCTGTCTCCCCACCCACCCCCAACCGTGGACACAGAGGTACCCTCAGATCTATCCCTGTTTCTCAGGGTCTATGTCCATCTGTCTGTCTGTCTCCCCCCATCCACCATGGACATAGAGATACCCCCAGATCATCTCTACCTCTCTCAGGGTCTCTTTCTCTCTTTTTTCCTCCCTCCCTCCCTCTCTCTGTCTCTGTCTGTCTCTCTCTGTCTCTGTCTCTGCCTCTCTCT